TGTATATATATATTAAAAAGCCCAAGGGCAAATATATTAAAAAAGAAATGTACAAATAAGTAGGATGTGAGGGCCCACATTGGAACCCAAAGCACCCGGTATACAACACAGACTAATGTCCCAAAAAAGTACATGTATACCCAAAAAACAAATTAAAACAGAGACAAGTAAACTTTACTCTAAAAGTCTCCAAACACTCGAGAGTCTAACATAAAAGAGCCTGAGAAACGACCCAATGTATCCTTACCTGTTACCTCTGGTTTTAGATAAGGAGCCAACTAACAAATGATTAAGTCTACTGCTATTACCTAAGATAACCAATGTATCATCCATTAAATTACTGAGTTCCAGTAGGCCTCTATTCTTTGTCTTCTTCCTGTATGTGTAAACTTTCATTCCTCATCCGAAGACTGACTCATTTGATTAGTGTCATGGTCCAAAGATTGTCGGGCATGTATAGGCTGTTGCACATCATGCGGCCCTTGTGCCTGAATGACAGTAACAACTTGCTCAATCTGATGAGGTGACGTGGCCACAGTAGAGAGCTCACGTATGGTAGAACATTGAAGTTGTAGCTGGGGCACACCTAGGGCTGGACACTCCATCACGAGATTGCTAACCATTACATCCATGATAGGTTCTAGAGTAGGTGAAGTATGTCAAGTCTCCTCTGCCACCATCGACAAAGGTTCTACAAGAAGAATCAGAGGGCCTACATCTTGAGCATTATGTGGAGGCAGGGTAGTTGAAAGATTGCCCACGGGGGTAGTGAAACCTTCAACAACGTCGACTCGTGAACTAGATGGTGCTGTTACCACATTGTGAGTGGGGTCAGAGGTATTCTTGTGATGAACAAAAGGATTAGGAGGAGGGGGGTATCGGTCGTTTATTTTGAAAATCATTTAAATTTAATATATATATATATATATATATATGGTTAAAATTTCAGAAAATAATATTTTAATATTGAAAAGTGAGACCGCATGGACCTCAGATATTTGACAGTTTAGATGGTTGAGCGCGATATCACAAGTAATATACTATCCCGAAGGATATACATACAACTTGTTGGTAGGCTTAACCACCTAAACTAAAAGATTTGTGACTTCCGTTCGGTCTACGAAACCTTTTTTATAAGCCTACAAATTTCCCTATTTAGTACGAGAGATTAAATAGGGTTTATATTAAGCTGAGTTCTTAAGTCATTTTTAGAGTCAAGCCCCTATAGTTAATTACATCTTAAATGACCGAAATCACTTAAGAAGACTCGATTAAGATCACTAGTTCCGTTTTCAAGATTTTAAAGTTTACGTTTCCAAGGTTAAATATGAAGAAATCAAATGGGAAGGACTCAAAATAGGAACAATTATTTTTAAGAGTTAATGAAGTGAAAGGTAGGGGATGTCACAGATCCGGAGGGAACCCCGGTGACTTTCCAACTATCCTATGATTGAACCTTAACTCTGAAGAGACATCCTACACCTCGTTGTCGTGGTCTCGATCGCCGCTCTTCGTCCGCTTGCTTCTACGTTCCACTTCTTGGAAAAAAACTACTCTAAGCTCCTTAACATATCTATTATAGGCTCGTGGTTGCGGTGTGTATAAACATACAATTATTGGGTCAGTGGCTCGCTATAGGGTACCTCATAAATTGGGTGTCCTACTGTCCTCTATCCTAAAAGGTCCCTGCAAGTTTGTAGAAGCAACATGAATAATAAAAAGGAAAACATGTTACGAAGCGCAGTAAACAATAATCATTAACGTCACAAGCATGAATTGTATATATATGCAGTAGAGTGTGCAGTAAATAAAGTGAAACGTTGTAAATATAAAACAAACTTGTATACCTGACAAGCCTGTTGTTTCTGTAAATGGGATCGATATCGCAGTTACAAGTGAATGAGTATAATGAAAAGAATTTAAAAATTGTGTAAGCATGGATTTATATAAACAAGAATAAATAGCGAACATTATCTGAAAAACTCAAGAAAAGCGCCAAATGATCCACAGTAACTCGAAGAAAGCATCGAAAACACGAGAAAAATTCCGAGGAAATTACGAATGATCTACAAAGATCCAAATAAAACCGTAGGAAATACACGAAAAATCCGAGGAAAGAAAAAAAATCATAAGCATTCGGGTAAGGTTAGGCTCAGATTTATGTTTTTTTGAGGGACTCCGAATGCAATTATCGGTCACCCGTATGTATATAGCCCGACATTCAATTAGAAATGTTTCCTACAATACCAACTTATGAGGGTACTCCTTAGCCCAGTACCGGCGATTGACAAGTGGACAGTCGAATTATATTACTTAAAATTTATATTTTGGCAAATTTATATTTTGGCATTTATATTTTGGCATGCATATAGGTTCCATGCATATAAGAGAAAGTAATATTTTTTTTAGTCAATACTTTTGTAAATAGCGTATCTGTTCTTATCATTTTTACAAAATAATATGATTGTTCACAAGTTGATTGCACCGCCAAACTTGAACCGCCAACAACCTAAGAAGGCGAGGGTGCCCTGCTAGTCTGGTGTCAGTGAATAATATTGCCATCCTATGTTTCTCCGGGTCCCGGGGACAGGTGAGAAGCCACATTTCAGAGGTAATATCACATATATATTGGATAATTCATGAAAGAGATGAAATGTAGCGAGGTAATTTACCCTTCCCATTGCGTTGTGTTCCACAGAACACAACTCTGCTCCGTCATTCGCAAAACTAAAGTTTTGAGGACAAGATTTTATGAAACACACCAATAAGCAGGCTCTTAAACAGACTTTAATTACTTTTCAAAACGATAAGCGACCGAAAAGCCGCTTATACATGCTCTTTTAGTTTATTTGTGTTTACATTGCATGCGTATTTCAAATTAAAAAAAAATATATAGTTGTATTTGTATATATACATGAAACACACATATAGAATTTTATTTATATATTTATTGAGTCAATTTGGTGATGTCAGAGTTCAACCAAAGAATAATAGGAAAACTCAATATTATTGCTTACTTCAATTAGTGAATTATAACAAATAAATGGAAATATAAAATAATAACAAACACGACACAAGAAATTTGAAATTTCAACAAATGACAACGCAAATTCAATTAGGGTGAATCTCGGGGTGCTGGTGGTGTTCGACAAGGGTTTGGAGGTAGCGAGATAGTGAAAATGATGGTTTGCAAGCAGAAAACAACAAGGAAATGGTTTCCCATGTTCGTGACAGCAAGCACACAGCAGATATCAACATAGAATGGTTGTCTGGGATGATGGCAGCAAAGGGGATGCTTGGAAGGCAGCAACAATGAAAATGAGGGGATGCTTGGAAAGCAGCAACAATGAAAATGGTGGGCTGGAATGGCAATGACAGCCAGGATGGAGGGCTGTTTAGGGGTGCTGGCAGCATGGAGAAGGGGGAAATGAGGTTTGTGGTAGACAGTTCCAAGTCAGAATGGAGGAGTGCGGGGTTTGGAATGCCGCACCAACGTGGATTGCAGAAAAAACAGTCAAGGAGGGCTGTTTTCGGGCAGCTGCAGCGAAGTGTGAGGGATGCAAAAGGGTTGAGGAAGGCTAAAGCATCACCGTGTGAGTGAGATTCAACCAGCGCACTACTGACTCTTGGATATAGCGCTATAAGGGAAATTCTGTGATACTGACTGCTGTCCTGAGTAGAAACATGAAAAACTCCCCATTCTAACCCTAATGCAACACATATATAGGAAATGACTAGAATGGACGGAAAGGAAAGGACGAAACTTGCTTAATAAATAAATGTAAGAAACTAAAAGGAAAGTAAAATAGGGATCACGTTCAGTTTATCTCCCGTGATTGTGAATCCAACTTGCAATCAATCCATTCTCTGGTACTGTAGCTGAAATCGTGGAATAACCCACATACGGGACCCGTGCGGGAAGCTTCCGCGTCATTTTGTGTTGAATGAAATTAATTGATTTTGCGACGAATAAATTTACTTTTTGAGCCGATAATCCTTAAATTAGAGTAAGTTAATTGCATCAATTAAAAGTGAGAGTATTTTTAGTTTCAAATATAATTCCTAGCTCTATTATTCGCTCACTTCTCTCTTTTCAAACTTACATTTATATTTCTACCCTTGCAATGAACATGATAATTTTTAAGGCAATGCTTATAGTTGCAACTGGTTCAATAACTTCTTAAATGCTCAAACAAACCTTTTAAGTGAAATCACCTGTGTGCTTGAATATGTTTGAAATGACGGGATGGTTGGATAAATCCTTCTACTAATATATAATGGTTCTTTTTTTTTTGTCTTTCTATTTTGTTGGGTGATGTTTGCAAATATGGAGGTAGAATTCCTTTTTTTATCTGTTTCATATATTTTTATCCTTACTATTTCTGCCAGCAAAATATTAATTAATAATATGCATGGTTTGTTGATGAAAAGGATTGCACATAGCTTTCTTATTATGTATGCTGGTTCTTTTTCTATATGCTCTTCCTGGAAAGCTAAACCTTTACACTTTTTGATGTTTTTTTGTGTGCAACTATTTTTGTGATTGTTATTATGTCTTTCTCCAGCGTTCCTTTTCATGACATTCAGCTAATTTACAGGGATTTTTAGACTTTGTAACCATGCATGGAGGGATGAATAATGTATGTTCTATCGATTGTCAGATGGCTGCTTTATTATCACCCGAGTCAGATGTTTCTCAAGCTTTAAGCATAGACGAACGTGAAGAAATCTCAAAATTATATCTAAAGGTCTGATACATCTGGAACAAATGAAACATTAAAACCTATCACTAGCTATTTTAGATTTTCTTATATAAATTTTCTATGAGAATATGATGCAGCTAGTCACACTTTTATTTATTTCATCTTTTTTATCATTTGCTTAGCTATTTGCAGTTATTCTTTTTCTTACCCTTTCTGTTATTGGGAGAATTACGTATTAGGTACACTGAGTATCTCGGCATTTTAAAATGCACCAAGATTATTTATAGAATCGAAATGTGAATGCTATTTTTTGTTTTTCCCTAGGTTATCTTGTATTTCGTTTCAGGCTTTAATGCTATATTAGTATCAAAGAATTGGTCCATGAGGCAAGTCCCCGGCTAGCGACAACATTTACTGCTAGTAAACAATACATGAAACTCAGTCCATGCTAGATTGTAAGATGGCTCTCCAATCCAAGGTCATTACTTTCAAGGCCATAAAAGACTTTTATTCTATTGCCTAGTCTTTTGAAAGTAATGCAATTTGTGTCAGGAGGGAGCTTATTATTTTTTCAAATTTAAGATGGGTATTTATTTTCTTTCAAGAGAGTGTGTTCGATGATTTTCCATCTGAATGTTATGGAGGAGGGCTGGCCAGATATTTTGCACATGCTAAAACTATCACCTTAGTGCAAGATGAGGTTCATTGTCCTTCAATTCAGTTGGATGAAATTAGAATTCCGAACATCAGATTATGCATTTCTTCACTGGTTCCTGAGTCACGCTGTATTGGTGTATGGATTTTGTAGTCGGAATTCCAAACACATAGATTTATGTCAGTCATGATAGTTGTATATTGTTTGTTCAAAATAACATATTTTATCTCTTATCACAAAACACAAGATACCTGTCATATTGCTGATCTTACTTTGATGGAATTATATGTTTATATGGTATTTTTAAAACCATAGCATTTGATTGTGATGTGCGATTTCATATATACATACATACATACGTATATATATATATGTATATATATATATATATATAGGAAAGAGCAGCACGTGGCTCACGTGTTAATATAAAAAGAAAGTACAAAAGAGAGGGAGGGAA